ATATATATATACACACACACACACATATACATATATATATTCATTCTGTGGTTGATGTCCTTTATTATGCTTAACTTAATGTGAAAAATATAGTGGTCTGTAGCAACAAAGCAATGAACCAACGAATCAATCGGACTTAATTTGTCTGTCTTTTCAGAAAAATTAAATGAAACAAAAAGCGATTCATACAAAATTTTCCCAGAGCTGGTAAATATATGGCAAATCAAATTAAACAAAATCAAGAAAAACAACAAGCTATCATTAAGACTCAGCAGGGAAGCCCACAAATTCACCTAATGACATAAATAAAATCTTCAGAAGGTTTTATGCCAATATATATCATATTCCTCAGAAAAGGACCCACATCAAAAAGACATCAACTCATTTCTTGACAGCATTGACCTACCACAGCTTAACAAAGAACAAACCAACACACTTGATTCACCATTAACACAGGACAAACTTTTTACTGCCCTCAATCTTATGCCCAATAACAAAGCACCAGGACCTGATTGCTTCCCTGCTGAGTTCTAAAAACTCTTCTGGTTCATTCTAGCTCAACTCTTTAACAAAATGATAACTGAAATAAAACAAAATTCACAATTTCCAGCAAACATGAACACAGCCAGTATTTCACTCCTCCTCAAACCAAACAAAGATCCAACTCTTCCATCTAGTTACCGTCCCATTGCTCTCCTCAATGTAGATATTAAAATCATCACTAAGGCACTTACTCACAGATTTGAAAAGGTCACTCCATCCATAATTCATCCAGATCAAATCGGCTTTATCAAAGGTAGACATTCATCCACTAACACACACAGACTGTTTAGTTTATCAACTACTCATTACAACAAGCCGGTACTCACAAGCACATTACAAAGATTGGGCTTTGGGGAATAATTTATTAAATGGGTTAAGATTCTGTACACTGCACCTTCAGCCACTGTCATCACCAATGGACAAACCTCACAAAGCTTCACACCACACAGGAGGACTAGGCAAGAATGCCCACTTTCAGTGAACCGTTAGCTGCAGCCATTCAACAGAACATCTATATAAAAGGAATCCAAACACTCAACACGCATCACAAGATCAGTCTCTATGCTCTTCCTTCAGAACCCTTTCTCATCACTACAGGAAACTATTAAAGTTATTGAATCATTCTCTAATATCTCCGACTACTCGATTAACTGGAACTGTTACGTCCCTTCTCTGTTGTCCAGGGGAAGGATTTAGGGACTAACACAAAACAACCCAAATGAAAAACAAATAGCTCGTGTACCATAAACAATATTTATTATGCTCACTGACAGTTAAAGATGAGCGAGTCGCAACACAAGATTTGGGAGAGGATGGGACAGGTGTGGTCGTGCCAAACTATTCAAACAAAGATAACAGAACTTGGCCTAACTAACTAACCTCTGAAATCAACAAACAAAATGGCTTCTCTAACTTATCTAAATGTGCTTGACCAAAACCCAAATACAGATGAGGCACCGACCAATAAGCCTAGTGTATCTAGACACAGAAAATCCTACGTGTGTGCCAATGTACAGGGTACCCCAGACTCACCTACTGTCCGCAACCTCTCACCACAAACACCAACAAGTTCAGTTCTCAGAAGTGACATAAACCCAGTATGAAGTGAAGTTCCCCTGAACTCCGAGGCTTCCTGCCTTTTATCTGCGGCTCTCCCTCTGCCGATTGTCCAGCCTGCCGCTGGTGCCAATCACCAATCAGGACACTGGCCCCCACAGGTGGAATCCAATCACCCGATTGACCTGGTAGGAGAACTGAGAGGGAGAGAAAAAAAAGAAGTGGGGGGAGGGGAGAAAACACAACACATAACAGGAACAAATCATCCATCCTTCCATTAGATAGTAACAGTTGGGATGGGGCAGCCCGTACACCATCTATCCTTTATGCACAGGTGTCATCACGTATTTAGGAATAACAATTTCCCCCAGGCTGTCAGAGCTGTTCACACTCAACTTCACTCCTCTACTCAAAACAATAAATGACGACCTCCTCTGCTGGCTGAAACTACCACTATCACCACGCTCTTCTTGAATAACATTTATTTTTATTTGTATTAAGAATTAGCATAGGTTGCAACTAATTATTGTTGGAAAATGTATATAGCGTTAAATGTTTAACAGAAAAAAGGATATTCATGCATGAAAATAATTGTTAGTTGACTCATCTGAGCTCTAGAGACTGACGTTCGTGTAAATGTAACATTGTGTGCATTTTTCTCTCCTCAGGAGACCAGGAGTACTTACTAAATCTGATCGACTCTCCTGGTCACGTCGACTTCTCATCAGAAGTTTCCACTGCTGTCAGGCTGTGTGATGGTGCCATTATTGTTATTGATGCTGTGGAGGGAGTGTGTCCACAGGTAATGTCTCATTCTGTAAGACACACATTACTGTAGATTCCAAGGAACATACTGAGTCTAAGTAATACGACTTATTTTTGTCTCTGTAGTTCAGTACATTGGATTTAAGTTGATACTTGAAATGACACAATTACTGCTGTCAGATTTAATTTGGGCTCACATGAACAGTGTTGGCCCCCACTCTAATGGGACCAAAAGGCAGACCCTAACCCAACATGGAGAAGAAGTGTCATCACACGACCTAATAAACTTTATCTCTGATCAAGGAGGCCATTCAATCTGATGCCAAAGATAATTTTGAGCAGATTTGGGGAATTACTTATGTTGTCAAGTGACAGAAGTTCCATTCTGAGGTGACAGGATACTAATGATAGGATTAACTTTATTTATGTTTAAGTTACAAAGTGCTGTTCAGTAAAAACAAAGAATGAAATGGAATCCAAAACAGCTGAGGGGCCCAGACAGCAAAGGGCCAGACACCCTTAGTGACAAGCCATTAGTATTGCCAGGAGCATGAGAGGAAGAGGAGTCGGAGGATAACAGAGAATGACCTGTTGGATGGATAAGAGATGAACCAATCCAAAGCCAAGACTCCTTCCAAGCATTCAGAGAGCACACATTGGAAAACCTAGTCAGAGTACTGGTGTGCAGAATAAATGGACCCATTTTATTTAGAACAATTCAGTACATTAAAATTTCTAGTCATAATATTGATTTTGCATTCCTCAAAAGCAATATAGTTAGATTCAAAACATCTAAGCTTAATAAAAAATAGATTTAATCAACAGGGATATTCACAATTATAATTTATAAATGTTCTTCTCAAAGCCACTAGACTCCCTTGGAAAAACACAAGGTTACCTCGCCGATAGTAAAACACACTTTATTGAAACTCAAGAGAAACAAAATAAAACTCATCAACACTGTCTTGGTTAGCTCTTTCCACTGTTCCAACAATCTCCACAATAGCCTTAATTCTCTGAGTTAGATGCGACAAGAAACCTCCTCAAACCTACCTGACAAAATTGAAAAACACAGTTCGCCTTCATTCATTCAAACTGGACAGAAACAAAATAGAACTCATCAAAATTGGTTAGCCAAGTCTTTCCACTTTCAACAATCTCCCATTTTAGTTTGGTCTAAATAAAGCCTTAATTCACTGAACATATGTTGGCTCTACCCTGTTGTCTCTCCTTGCTGTTTCCGGCCTCAGCACTATTAAAAGCTCACTGAACGAGATCCGTCGTAAGTCGTAACAAATGTTTAAAAAGGCCTTGTGGAGCTAATAAAGAGTGAAGTTTCAGCAACTGGAATGACAATTTGTTCAGGAAAAGATTTTGGTGCTGAGGGTTAATTATGATTTTGGTGATGGCGAACAAGCAGGCAAATTGATGGCTTACTAAAGGCATTGGTAAAGGGTTTTGGAACCAGCAGTGCCAAGTTTCCAGTAGAGGTGAAAGTTTGCCAGCAATTTTGCCCTGTTTCCAAATTTTACTTAATTACTTTAATTAAATATTGTGTGTATAAAATAAATAATTCATAGGAATTACATTTTTGGTGATCACTCATGTAAAACCTTGGTTAAAACCTATGCTGTACAGAAGTCAAAGGTGATTTTTAAAATGTTTGCATTGTGTGTAGACCCAGGTTGTGCTGCGTCAAGCGTGGTTGGAGAACATCAAGCCCGTTCTGGTCATCAATAAGATAGACCGACTTATCGTGGAGCTGAAACTCACCTCTCAGGAAGCTTACACACACCTGCAGAAGATCCTAGAACAGGTGAGGAGCAGTCATCTGATCACTTTATTTTCACTATATATTTCATGCAAGTCATCTGTAACACTCTTAGCGGCATTGTTGCGCCACAAAGAAACCTTCAGTGAAATTGTTTTGTTCGTGTTCAGCTGTCTTGAGTCTGGAGCTCAAGAAACATGAAAATAACTCATGTTTGCATGAGTTATTTTCTGTTAACTCATGGAAACATGAAGGAGCTGGTAGCGTTTTGTAAACCACTGTCACTAAGAGTCCGTGTGCCTGTTGCTCTTTGTAGGTGAATGCAGTGACAGGGACTTTGTTCACATCCAAAGTGCTGGAGGAGCGAGCGGAGCAAGAGGAGCAGAAGGAGGAGGGGGAGAACGACAGCGAGACGTTGAGTGGAGATCAGGTTTATGACTGGAGCGCTGGGCTGGAGGAGGCTGACGACTCACAGCTCTACTTTTCTCCTGACCAAGGAAATGTGGTCTTTGCCAGCGCCATCGATGGTTGGGGCTTCAGGTGAGGCTGGTTCCCTCTTAAAGGAGCAGTGTGTAGCATTCAGGGGGATTTATTGGCAGAAATGGAATATAATATTCATAACTGTGGTTCCATTGGTGTATAATCAGTTGTTTTTCTCTGACACACTTGTAACGGGAGGGGTGAGCAGAGGGGTGTTCAGCTGGATGCAGTCTGCAACCTCACCACTAGATGCCACTAAGTCTAACACGCTGCTCCTTTAAGCTGCTTTAATGACATCAGTGGAGTGGAGGGTCTAAGTGGAGGCACAGGTCCTCAGGTGTAGAGGTTGGCTTTAAAGCCGCAGAAGGCAGTTGTTGTTTTAAGTATACAAAGTATGAAGCAGACACCCTCCGTTGGGTGCTCATGGTGAAAAAACTCTGTAAAACAAACAGATTAGAGAAAAGTCTACCATACTGGTGATATGTTGGCAAGATATTGTTGTCATAGAAACATCAAATTCTTTCATTGAAGGGCTGTGTTGAAGCGCCGCCCAGCGCCCTGAGAAAGGTGCTATGTGGACACAGCATTGTGTGTAATGTGTTCATTGATGTTCAAATTCTATGAAACAACATGAACGAATGGAATGGTTCACAACAGACGGATGTTGTGCTAATTGTGTGACTACAGATTGGACAAAAAGTTAGCACGAAAGCAATAGATTTAAAGCACTTCAAATAAGTGAAGCTGTCAAGCAGTGCAGGAGAAAACAACAAAAGCACTTGAAACCAAAGTTAAGATTGCATTGTGGCACAAAGATACAAACATGCAAAGTTTACTCGCACTGAAGTCCTGTAATTTGATGGCTGAAAGGAAACGTAGTGTTTCTATCAGTTGAAAGGCAGCATCACTGGGTGAATGGTCACATTTGTGTGTTTGATATAACTTCTATAGAAGAAGTAAAATAAATGTATACTATTTCATATAAATTGTAACTTTTCTTTAGTATAATCTGCTTAGAACTATTCATTTTGACAAAATAATTTAGTAGAACAACAATACAGTATTATATTAACAAATCCATTGAGAGTTGATTAATGTGATCTGGATGATAGTCCAGCCCTCTTCACAGAGTCCTATCAGGATGCTTCTAATGTTGATAAGATGTTCCATTCAGCTGAGTACATATGCCTTTTTCACATTTGTGTCACATTTTGACACATTTCCAATGTCCCCCTTTAAATACAGTGCCTTGCATAAGTATTCACCCCCCTTGGATGTTTTCCCCTTTTGTTGCTTTTATACATGATATCATGGTCAGTATAATTTTGGTTTTTTGTCAAGAATTTGCAAAAAAAAGCTTCTTACATGTCAATGTGAAAACAGATTTTTACAAACTAATGTCAATTAATTTAAAATATATAGTGTAAAATAAGTGTTTGCATAAATATTCACCCCCTTTAAAGTGACTGACCTAATTCAACAGAAGTCCAGCTAGTTGATGCCAGCAGTGTCACAAGTAGTGAAATGGAGATGACCTGAGTGCAGTTGATGTGTGTCAAGTGATTATAGTATAAACACACCTGTGTCTGGGAGGTCCAGTCTCTGGTTCATCAGTATTCCTGCTACAATTGCAACATGAAGACAAAAGAACACTCCAAGCAACTCAGAGAAAAGATCATTGAAAAATACAAGTCAGGAGATGGCTATAAAAATATTTCCAACTCACTGGACATCCCACAGAGTTCAGTTCAGTCCATCATTAAGAAATGGAAGGAGTATGGCACTTGTTTAAATCTCCTAGAGCTGGCCGTCCTCACAAACTGAGTGACCGGGCAAGAAGAGGACTGATGAGGGAGGCCACCAAGACACCTAAGACCACTCTGAAGGAGTTCAAAGCTTCAGTGACTCAGATGGGAGAGACTGTACATACAGCAACTGTTGCCCGCGTTCTTCACCAGTCGAAGCTGTATGGAAGCGTGGCAAAGAGAAAGCCACTGTAGAAAGAATTCACCCAAAGGCATGTGGGAGAATCCAAGGTCAATTGGAAGAAGGGTCTTTGGTCTGATGAGACAAAAATTTAGCTTTTTGGCCATCAGACTAGATGCTATGTTTGGTGAAGACCAAACACTGCACATCACCACAAACACACCATCTCCACTGTGAAGCATGGTGGTGGCAGCATCATGCTCTGGGGATGCTTCTCAGCAGCAGGGCCTGGAAGGCTTGTAAAGGTAGAGGGGGACATGAATGCAGAAAAATATTGCCAAATCCTGGAGGATAATCTGACTCGGTCTGCAAGACAACTACGACTTGGGAGAAGATGTATTCTCTAGCAAGACAACGACCCCAAGCATACAGCAAAAGCCACACAGAAATGGTTCAAAGACCACAAGGTGAATGTTTTGGAGTGGCCAAGTCAAAACCCAGACCTCAATCCAATCCAGAATCTGTGGCTGGACTTGAAAAGAGCTGTTCACGCCCGATCCCTGAGCAACCTGACAGAGCTTGAGCTGTTTTGAAGAAGAATAGAGAAAAATCTTAGTGTCCAGATGTGCCAGCCTGAGTGAGACACATCCACACACACTCAGTGCTGTGATTGCAGCCAAAGGTGCATTTACTAAATACTGACCTGAAGGGGGTGAATACTTATGCAATCATTTACTTTACCTTATATATTTTTAATTAATTGAGATTATTTTGTAAAAATCAGTTTTCACTTTGATATTAAAGAGTTTTTTCTTGTCACAAAAGCCAAATTATATTGACCATGATTTCATGTATAAAAGCAACAAAAGGATGAAACATCCAAAGGGGGTGCAAGGCACTGTATTCTCCTCTAGGTCCACTAAGTGTCCCACTGTGACATCACAAAGGGAAGGGTTTGAGGGTTGACTTTGAGTCCTTTGTGCACACTTTCCATAGTGAGGCACCTCATCAGGGCCTCACGATTGGTTAATACGGTCCTGAAATAACCCAGTAACTTCATCAATACCCCAATATTATTTAATTGTGTACTCATTCACTATCTTCAGACAACCACAAGTGTCCACTAGATGGTGCTGTCAGCTTAGATTTAATACGCATTATATGACCCTGAACATGATCACAGAACCATCAGGGACCAGAACAAACTCCAACCTGTTAACCTTAAAAGACCTACTTTTGTCCAATTGAGGACTTTCAAAGTAAAATGCCTCTTCCTTACTTTTGTTACTTGTAATTGACAGTTTTGTCATTTACTTCACATAATTTAATCTAAAACACAGTGACATAAAGTTTCCATGCTGTACTGGTAGTTTGGTGTATGACAGTGAGTAATGAGGACAAAAGGACCAACTGAGGGTAGCTGTGTCCTTGTGATCCCACTCTTCTATAAATAAACCAATGAAGACCCGGCAGAACAGCCCGAGTCTTGTCTGCATCTGAACCCAAGACACAAGTTTACCGTCTGTAGGGAGAAAGAGGAAGCAGAGAGCCAGACAACGATCCTGTTACAATCTCTCAACAGTCACAACAGCTACACTTATTCAAAGCTAAAAAAAGCTCAGATTTGCAGCATAGTTTGCATTAAAGATGATGCTTCTCTGTTAGTCTGTCAGTGAACCTGCATAAAAAATGTAAATGGAAGACAATTTTGATTTTGTTTTTTGTAGCATCCAGCAGTTTGCCCACATCTACAGCCAGAGAATGGGTATCAAGGCAGAGGTGCTGCTCAAAACGCTGTGGGGAGATTTCTACCTCAATGCAAAAGCAAAGAAGATCATGAAAGGAGCTCAGGTAATGTAGCTATTGAGTAATTGTACGTCTATTTTTATATGTAGTTTCAATCTTTCTCCCATTTTCTTGTCAAGGTTATTTATTTGACATTTTCTTTAAGTACAAAGGAAATATTAAAACCAAATCAGAGGTACCAAATATTACAACTGTTACTGCTGCTGCTTGGGTGCCGAATTGAGACGTATGTTATTGATCAATTACAAGCAGAGCGATATCTCACAGTAAATCGGCACTATAATCATTGTTTAGGGCTCATTATTTGTTTTTCTTAATAAAATATAATAATTCAGGAATTTATGAATTTTTTTCTTCATTAAAAATGTGTACAATTAAATCAGTTGGACTGGGTGTTACAATCCCTGATGTTTCTGCACTATTGACTTGAGTGGTGATGTCCCCTATAAAGTGATGATGTTGCTACCATTCAGACACATCTTCAGCTGTGTACCTCAATATCACTGATAACTAATCAGCCTTTGATTACAAGGTTATTTATTGTACAACAAGATTGTGCAACGAAATGCAGTTTGTAATCCCATTCTGCTACATACGAAAACCATAAAAAACAAAAATGAATTGAGGCTGAACAGGTTGTGGCTGGGTGGGTTTTGTCTTTTACTATCACTGTTTGTAATCCGGCAGATGACGATGGTATCATTTGCAAACTTCACAACAGAGTTCACTTCATGTTTGGGGCAGGACTGGTGGGTGTACAGTGTGAACAGGAGAGGGCTGAGCACACAGCCCTGGGGGGCTCCGGTGTTCAACAGTAGAGTGGAGGAGGTGCTGAGGTCTGTTTGTGAGGAAGTCTAAGACCAGTTGCAGATTGAGGTACTCAAGCACAGAGTGCTAAGGTTACCAATCAGTTACATGGGGGAGATGTGTTTAAGGCTGAGCTGAAATCAACAAACAACATTTTGATGTGGGTGTTGGTATTTTCCAGATGAGCATCCTCTGTGGATCTGGTGGCTCTATATGCAAACTGGTGAGGGTCCAGGCTGGATGGAATGTTATTTTTGATGAGCAGGAGAACCAGTTTCTCAAAGCACTTTATCAGAATGGGGGTGAGTGCCACAGGGTGATAGTCATTTAGACTGGACACTGCAGACTTTAATGATGGTGTCTGTCTTGAAGCAGGTGGGAACACTCCTGTGACAGTGATATGTTGAAAATGTCAGGGATGACATCAGTTAGCTGGTTGGCACATGTTCTTAGTACAGCAGGGATGTTATCAGGCCCAGCAGCTTTACTCATATTCACTCTCATCAGGGTTTTCCTCACATCCGCTGTGGATACTGACAGTGGTCGGTCCTCTGGACTTAACAGCTGACTCTTTGTTGAGGAGACCAAAGCGAGTATAAGAGGTGTTCAGCTCATCTGGCGACATGGTTTCACACATGATGCTCCTACTTTTATAGCCTGTGACATTCTGGATCACCCGTAACATATCTTTAGTGTTGTTGGTGTTAAGGTCTCTCACCAGTCTCTCTCGATGCCTCCTCTTTGCCTCCTTGATGCCAGCTTTAGGTCTCTGGTGATGCTGTATGCTTCCTTGTCACATGACCCAAAGGCAGCTTTTCTGTCCTTGGGTTGTGCCATTACCTCTACATTCATCCAGGCTTTCTGGTTGGGGAATGATTTTATTTGCTTTGTGATCATCACATCATCAACACGTTTGCTGATATATGATGTCACTGTTTTAGTGGTGTCACGGATCACGGATCGATCACACCTCACAGTTCGGCACACTTGTGAACCACGGATTAATTGAGTATTTTTTTTTACAGTGTAATCATCATAGTGTGTAATAAAGTTTTACTGCTGCTGTTCCTTTTCAAGTAACAAGTCCCCGAATATCAATGCAGAGTGTCAGTGAACAGATATAAAGCAGTAGTGTGTTCACGTGAATGGAGCAGGTTAGAAGCATTTAACGGTGAAAGTCATGGCGAGCGGAGGAACCTGAGAAGCCCCCAGCGACATTTAAGTCACAGGTTTGGGAGCATTTTGTCTTCCCTGTAACTTATGACGGATAAGGGTGGTGGACAAAAGCGTTGCGGTATGTAGGCGTTGTTTAAAGAGAAAGACACATGACAACGACAATACATCGGCATGTCCACACATATGAAGAGCCACCATCCCATCTGTCAGCGACGGGGGCCAAAGCACAACAACAACAACAACAATAAGGTATCTTTAATAAAAATACCATCAGGTTGTTTTGTCATGTGTCTGCTGATGACCTCATATATTTCTGTCGTGCATTCTTTTTAAATTTGCATCTGGAGAAATTTAAACAGCAACAAAACACTGGTGAATTCTCTGGGAAGATAGTATGGCCAGCATCTTAGCATTAAAGGAACAGTGTGTAAGATTTAGTGGCATCTAGTGGTGTGTTATCTTTAGGATTTTATTACTACTAGGAGCTACTCTTATCAATACTCTACTTTTCTACATGAGTAAATAATTGCTTTTAAAAACATATATCTATATAATTTTAAAAACAATTAAATTCAGAACAGAATTAGAATTTATATTTAAAATGTATCTAAATATTGTTTATGGACCAGCAACAGTTATGTTTACAACATAAAATTAAAATTCACGATATAAAGTTATTAATACATCACTGGAAACAAATGTAACATGTTAAGACAATAAAGAACATTTCTGAGTTTAGACAGAATGAAGAACACAGCATTTGTGCTGGGTTGGTGTAAACTTAGCGGTGGTGGATGAGAGACTGCAGACAGAACCGATTGAATTAGCTTTCACTTTTGTTTACATGTCCGTGTTTGTTGAACAGATGTATTGATAAAGTATTGACTTTTTACTCGCAAATATTTTAGTGTGTGTGTTTGTTTGGAGGAGCTCAGACAGAAAGTGCTGAGCAGATGCTGCAGTGTGATAATAAATGACATCAAAACTTTAAAAAGGACAAATAAAAAGCACCAGTATTGTAGGGGCTTATCAAATTATAATCTTTAATTAAAGCTGCGAGCAGCATTGATCGGGCTCTCGCAACTTCACGCACGTCGAGGGTACTAGCAGGACTCTGGCCATGCATTTCTGTGACAATCATACACTGCGTGCACGAGTTAGATGATATTTCCTGCGTCGAGCAGCAGCGTAGCAAGATCATGTTGCCAGGTCTTAAGCCTCAAATGTTTTGAGTGTACATCCGATACAATCAT